AATGTGACTAACAATGGGAATGCAGGACGCGTATTTCATCCTGAATATCACTGCTAACTAAGTACATTCTATTTATTTGATATAAATTTGTCGAATACTTTCAGTTTTCCAGTAAAACACCACTTAATTGAAAATAATCACCTTGAAATCTATTCATTATTACATCGTTCATTTCAGTTTGACAGAAAAAAGTTCAATAATCATTCTTCAAAAATATTTATTGGAATAGAGTGAAAGATGTTGTTATTTAGTTGAAAACTTCATGTTTCCATTTCATTGTCTATTGTTGTAATGTTAAGTATCATACACTTGTATAAATGGTAATATAATTTGTTCATTGTTAAAATGCTTAAATACTTAATACCTATCTATCTATTCATTCCAACTTATTTTTTTACTGATTCATATTAGTAGTTATCAATCATGAATTTGAACTAAACACTCCACAAAAATCGATAATCATTGTAATTATAATTCGTCATAATTTTTATCTTTCTTAAACTTTAGATATTGTCTTAAACTGGGGATGGGACACACACTAAACATATAACATATTGAACATTGACTGACATATATATTTCAAATAATTTTTTTGTTTGCTTACATAGTGTAAAATGACATGACACAACATAATTTTAATTTGACAAAGTGGATAGAACAGATAAATCTATTTTAAACTACAATATATGTATTTTTCACTTTGTATAAGTTGAACGTGTATTCAGTTCATTCTTTTCAACAAACAATGTGTTTACTTATTTCTTATTAATCTATCATATCTTGTAATCTAATATGAACTATTGCTGGCACAATAATAAGTGAAACATATTTTTTTTCAACTTATAGAGTGTGAACTAGTCATTTTTCTTTGCAATTTGACAATATTTCGAATGAGGTATCAGGAGTCAACTCCTAAGCATAAACTTAATCATCTTCACTAAACTTTTTTTAACTAAAAATAAATAATTATAAGATTATTATTATTATTATTGATAAATTGCTTTAAGAATACTTACTAAGTCCTCTATTCACATGTTCAGATCGATGAAATTTTGTTCTATTAGAAGTGAAATAGAGATTTGAAAATCCTTTTACCGAATAATGAATCCAGTATGGTTTAAATTTTAACGTTAAATAACCATTGAAAACCCGGTCGTTACGTCCTTGTAGGGGACTCCTTCGTACTATTCACCAACGACTGCACATAAGTGAATGGAACCCAGGAATTTCGGTCTCGCTCGCAAACGCTTAACTTCCAAACCATTCTGGATATGTTTCTGTTCTAGATCATGTATGTTTGAACTATTCATAGGTTTTAAACTTCAAACAACGGTTTGGCGGCAATATTTCAGTTCAAAATTACATGCATTTTAGAGTTATAGCTAACAATGAAATTCAAAATATACCATTCATCTTAATTAGTTTTGATCAATTGAATAATACCTGCTTCTATTTCACAATTAATATTCACAATAAAACTCAAAACTAATATTTCTGTCTATTTAAACACCATTGTATTATTTACTAAGTTCGAATAAAGTCACTGACTTCTTGGACAGTTATGATTCTATGAACTAGAGTTTCACAGTTCTCCTATTCATACATAGTTGTTAGCTTTTGTATATTCTCTGTAAATGCTCTGATATCCATGATCCTATCATGGATTAAACTTAAAACTTCCACCAGATCTGCTGTAAGTGATCAATCTCTTTGGCATATATGCATCTTGTTTGGATTACGTTGCATCGATATCGCGTCTAGGTTACGAACATTATTAGCAGAAGTGGACAGTGGCTAGCAATGTCATCCACTGAGATGCGAGTACATCCAGCTGACGAATCCAAAACAGGAGGTAAGGTGCGTTCTGGATTCCACTGCTAGTCACTATCCATCTCTACTACTAGTTAATTGTTATTTGTCTAAGCTGAAAAATAAACATCTGGTAGTTTATATGTTGGTAATAACCGCGTCCGTCGACTACCTTGTATTTTCATCTACAGTGAAATACAGCCTTGTTTTTAAATACGTGATCAATTCTAACTAAGTATTCGCACAAAAATCAGCTTTTAAAATTATCTATGAAGTCAACTGAACATATTCAAATGAAGTTTATTTCCCGAATTTGTTCATAGTAGCTGCTTTAACATTTCATCGATTCATTAAACCAGATCGTCTATTTGCATTCTTATCTGTTCACTGTATTTCGCGGTTCCACTGAGATGTTGACTTCTCCGTAACCCACTCAAAATCTAAAAGAAAGAGGAAGGATGAGAGTAAACAACCTTGTTTTACACCGGTCATCACTTGGAACGAGACTGTAAGCTCTCCTTCTTTCATGACCTTGCAGTTAAATCCGTCATGTTAATTCCTTGTTATGTTGAGTTTCTTCTCAAGAACTCCACAGTGCCATCCTGTCCACGTTGTTGAATGCTTTCTCGTAGTCAGTGAAGCTGATGTGGAGAGGTGAATTATATTCACTCAATTGTTCCACAATTATCCGTACCGTCCCGATTTGATCAGTATATGGTCGATCATTACGGAATTTATCCTGCTGATCTAGAAGTTGGGCGTCTATTAAATTTTCAATTGGTTTAACACCCTGTTGGAGACGTTTCCTAATACAGAGTATTGAGTGATTCCTCTGTATTTTCCAGATTTATTGAGATCTCCTGTCTTTGGAATCTTGATGAGGTACTTTTGTTTCAAATCTGCTGATACTTCTTCCTCCAAAATCTTGCTGAAGAGGGTGTGGAGTATCTTTGCAGTTACTGTTTTCTCCGCTTTCAATGCCTCAGCTGGAATGTTGTCTGGTTCCGCTGCCTTGCAACTCTTAATTTTCTAATGGCTATGTTGATCCCTTCAATTGTTGGGGTCAACATTGATCTGGAGATCCGTGAACGCTGCTTTAATGTTTGGTGGATCCAGCGGGGCTGGTCTATTCAGGAGTTCTTCAAAATGCTCTACTCACCTGCTTTGCTATTCCTCAATGTCGGTGTATGCTTTGCCTTCACTGGTTGTTCTGGTTTGCGATAGTTTCCAGTGAACTTCTATGTTGCATCATGTTTCCCTCTCTTGCAGCTTTTTCTGCTATCATTGCCAGATCTTCCAAATATTTACGTTTGTCAGTTTTGATGCTCCTCTTCCCTTGCCTGCTTGCTTCTCTGCATTCGGTTTGTGCTTAGGCTTTCTCTGCTCCTGTTCAGCTGATAGTTATTGCTCTCTTCATGTTCTTCCTCTCTTGAATCTTGTTCAGTGAATCAACACAGATCCATTCCTATTGATGTTGCTTCTTCTGCCCCAGACTCTCGTGACATGATGAAGTTAGAACTTCTTTGTTCCCTTTCTAGTTAGTCTCCATGATAGTCTCCTATTCATCGAGTAAATCGTGAAAGGCTTGGAACTTATCTTTAATAATGGTTGCTCTAGTTGTCAGAAGGGGCATTGGCCTCGTCACTTCTGAAGCAATTTGGCTTTCATCATCAGACGTCATAACTCTTTTGAATGAAGACCTTCTAACTCCCAAGGCAGAGTTAAAATGGTCAGCGTTTTATTTAGCGAATTAGTTTTTTTGTGGGATGGGGTGGTCAACCACATGTAATTGTAAAGGCTCAATGGCACTGAAACAATGAAACAGTCATTCAACATTATTACCATTCAAGATTTACTAATTGTAAATTAAAGATTCCAATGGTTTTAATTAAAGTGTTAATAATTAATTACTTTGGTCAAGTTCAATTTTCAAATTAAATAACAACTTATTAAATGATGTCGAATAGAAATCAACCGTTGTAAAATATTGATCGAAATTGTAAACTGTTTAAATAGGCAAGTTACGCTTAGATTATAAAGTTTTTGAAGTTATTTCGATTATGGTTATTAGTAGGTACTGTTTAAGAGTCTGTAATATAAGAATAACACAATTTAAACATCAATCTGCATTCCACAAAAAATTTATTATTGATGATATTGATTGAATATATTAGAGTATAATACTCGACTATGAATAGACTGATAAGTATAGTTGCTGATTTCTTGAGACTGCTCACCCCTTTATGTAGTGTCAGAGAGTTGAAGAAAATTCAACAGTTATTGATAATTAGAGGTGCGAGAAAAGCTTCCTTCATGATAGACTTCCAAAGGAATGGTGTACAAAAGTAAATTTTGAATAAGATGGCTCTAAAAATTCAATAATGATCAGAATAGTTCAGTGTTAAAGTCCCAGCGTGTGAAGCTGAACACTTCATATTGTAATCACAGAATAAGCATCAGTTCTCCTTAGATAACGGGTACCAGTGGCTATAAAACCTATATTCCATACATCTTGACGACTATGTCTGACCACTTAACATCACTTAGAAGTGTACTTTTTATGAAAGAACATTGATATAATAGAAGCTGACAAGTTGGAATTGACAAGAACTAAGGTCAGATATGAACCTTGCACAATGCATCAACAACCGCTCTAAATTACCTTTTTTTTCGAAATTTTTAGTCATTTGTCACAAGTAACCTTTTTTCTTATTGGTCGGGAAGTTTAGTTCACGGAAACCAGTGAATGTTCACACCAAACACATGCATACGCACTTATGAAAATAGAAATCTTTAGATATTTCACCCCTTTTTCCAATAATCCCTTGCTAACTATACAAGTTGTAAAGGGGCTTTTCAGTCGATGCACACACGCCCACACACCACACACATTTTCCTAAAAGATAACCAATCAGATTTTAATAAGTGATGACACCTTATCCTTTTATTTGTTCATTGTCATCCTAATTTTCAACTATATTTAGGCAATAAAGAGATGATGGATAAATTTAGTGAAGGCAGGAATGATTTTTTTGTGTTGATTAATATACATTTTTGTGCACCTTTTAATACTAACAAATTCATCATTTAAATCGCCATCATATTTGAACATAGTATATTGACAGAATTTATCATATTAGTTTAAATTATTTTCTAAAATTCTTTGAACTCTTTATTTTCATCAAGTGTTCATGTTACAATCTAATTCGATGACATTAACAACTTATATGCGTAACATAAGTCAGTGTTCAATGAATCAATGTAATTGTTTAAATTTATCACCATCACATATTGAACCATTGAACAACAATGCATCTCATTCACATCTCCATCACCACCATCATTTTTATCCAGATGATAAGAAATTTTATCAATTACAACTGAAAATGAATCAAACATATATTACTGATATTAGTAATAGTAGTAGTAGTAGTGGTAGTGTTCATAGCCGGAGTAGTAGTGGTAGTGGTAGTAGTAGTAATCATATTGATAATAGTAAGAGTATTAGTAGTGGTAATACAAGTTGTATATTATCACCAGGAGATAAATGTAAAAACATTGATCCAATAGATTTAACAAATCCTATAAATCGTTCTAATGAAGAATTATTTTCAACATCACATCAAATATTCCCATTAGATGGTAGAATTCAACGAAGAGATTGTCAACAAGAATCTTTATCAGATGATTTAAATTCACATTGTTGGGATGATTATCAACAAATCAATCGACCAGATCCACAATCATTCACTTCCACATCTGTTGGAATGATGAATCCATTCAATTTACTGATGTCATCATCGTCAACAACAAAAACACCAGCATCATCATCATCATCTCCAACGGAATCGAGTGGACATTTATTCAAAGTATTCAATCATGAATTGATTCCATGGTATAATGATCATATTTATTCAGTAAATCAATATAATTCAACTTCTAATGACAATCAGAATAATAATAATTCTGATTATAATCTCCCGGATTATTATTATTTGAATGAAACAAATTGTTGTTCAAATATGTTGACATTAAATGAACAGTTAACTATGTTTACATGTAAACCATCAAATCGAACACAGAACACAGAACATTATTATTCCACTTTGTCAACAAACGATTTATTTATGATGAAAAATAAATTTTATGATAAATTAAAAACTACAAATATAATTAATCATTGTATGAATACAAATACTACTGTTACAACTACTGTCAATAGTACTGATAGTAATTGTCGAATGACAGTTACAAGTAAACCAGAAAAATATTGGTCAACTGAAGATATGATGATTTATAATCAATCGTTAGAAATGAGTAAGTGATCAAATCAGTATCAAAAACATTTTTTTACTTAGAATATAGTTAAATCATTTGTAAGTTAAAGTATTTTATTCAAATATTAACTGTGATATAACTTTACTCTGCCAAATAGAATTGACTTCAGTTAGAAATCTGTAATTGTGTCGGATGTGAGGTTGTGTTTACCATGAATGTTAATGACAGATGGTTGTGCAATGTCAAGGTGTTAGTCGCTGAATATCGACTCAGTGATCTTGCCGAATAGCGTTCATGTACCAGACAGAAAGTTTTAAGTTCAATTCTAACAGGTGGAACCATGGATGCGTACTGCTGAAGAGTCCTACTCTAGGACAAACGGCCATCCAGTGACTGCAGGTTTTTAATGGATGGTCTAACTTTGATTAGTTGATGATTTTAGTGAAATTCAATGGTCTCCACGATGACCTATGCTTTGCCTGTTGTTCAACAAATAATAGTTTATGTTGACGCTAATTGACTCACGTTACTACTGTCGACTTCCAATCTAGCTGACCAATCAGTGTATTGGAGAAGCTAGTTAGTGTACCCAAAATATTCTATCATAAAACTCATTATCATAATCACAAAACTTAAGTAATCCGTATTTTAGCTAACTAAATGTAATTTATGCCGTATAAAAGATACATCAGCGGTTATAATAAGTCAAATAAATGGCTTACAATTAGAACAATGTAAAAATATCATCGATTAAATCACTTTATTTACAAACTATTAAAGAATGCATCTCAGTATTCTACCACTTTCACTTATTCACCAGCATCTTTTAATTGTCGATTGATAAGTGTTTCTATATCAACATTTACGAATTCATAAACAATTTTAATAATATGAATTTTTCGTCTATTTATCATAAAAACTTTCCCCGAAACAAAAGTAATTTTCTAAAAAACTGAAATGCTTTGGATCTCATTGAACTCGTGCATTGATCAGTGTTAAACCGCCATTGAAAACCCGGATGCACTAGGTGAACATTTCGTCCCAGTACAGGGTTCATCAGCGGTGTGCAGACACAATCCTAAGCACGCTGATGAAATACAGCAACTTCGGTCTCACGCAATAACGCTTGAATTCTTGTTCACTGAACCATCATCCAATGGTATTAATACCTCGCTTCAATCAATCCACGATACTGAGCAACCTCATCCATTGTCTTTGGCGAGTAATTGACTCACACTCGATACGGTTCAACTGTACTGTTCATAGATTCTCACTAGAACTCCGAGACTTTTTTCACGAAGTCAATCACTAGTGAGCACATGATAATTGTCATTATAGGGTTGTGAAGATTGTTGAGCTTCAATGAAACTATGAATTAGTCAACGGACGTCCAGTACTTCCAGATTTTTAATGGTGGTCTAATATTAATCAGTTCATAATTTTAACGGTACTATGGTATCTCCACAACTCTATACTGACAATGATATTATCTAGACAAGTACATATTCTTGACTACAGACTTCATTGACTTTGGAAATATAATGCTTTATTTTAAGTTAATCTTATTTAAATTGTGATATTTCTTGATTATATACAGGTGAATACATTGAATATTAAAATACGCAGCTTCCTATGTCATTTCGAAACAATATCTGTCATCTAAAATATTTATTTAACCCGATTAAAAAAGGTGAAATGAATGAACACACTTAAGAAAATACCTCTTCGATACAGGATGAATAAAAACTCAATATTCAGTTAGAAATATAAACTATTCAATAAAAACTCATTGTTCTGAAAGTTAAAAAGTGTATTCAAAGTGTGAAGTTCCTAGATTCCATCCTTGATGAAGGTGTGGTTTAGGAAATGCTAATGAAATAGCTGACCATTGTTTTCTGGATTTGAATGGTTGTCTAAACTAAATCAGTCGATCATTTGAAACTTCATATTAAAATGTTTACAACATTCAAAATATTGGTAATATTTTAACACACATTAATTGATCGCTGACCAATGTTCTGCTTGTCTTATCGAATAGTACTAATAGAAGTTTACTGATCGAATCGAAATGTAGCTACTAGTTTAGGTAACTCGATATCACACATACTGGATATAAATGTTTGCAGTTTTTTTCATTGTATCTTGTTCTCCAGATTAGGCGGTCTAACTATGAGGCTTTCGTAGTTGCGCCAGACAATATGATCAGTGTTTACTTAATGTGATGCGGAACACAACAAAACTTAATATTCTTAATAATAATGGGTTGGATGTGATTGATGCTGATTGATTGATTGATCATCAGCAAAGGCTAGACAAACATGATGTCTGTTAATGCTAAGTAGTACATCAATCTAAGCAATTTAACCGTAAAACAGTCAGGTGCCTCCCGAATAGCTAGATGATAAGTTCTCAGTCTTTGAAACTGGCTATGTTAGGTTCGAGTCATGAAAGAAATATCAGTTCTCTACAAGTTACAAACGTACATTAGTTGAAGATCACCTACCAACATGAAATACATGTACAGAGTTTCTTACTGACTGCATATATATATATATATATATATATATATATATATATATATATATTCAAATATCAACCAATCAATCAGACGCAAATAAACATTTTTATTGATACAAAAAAAGTTGAGTATAAGTAAAAATATTGAACATAAATGAGCCAATTGGGAATTTTATTTCAATCTCCACCTTGCTTCATACGTTTTTTCGTCCAGAAAGTTAAGATAAGCATAAATTAACATCTTCAAAAATGACAGACACAAATCTTTAAACGATTAAAATGAAATTCATTGTGAAAATTGTACACTATACTACGTCAACACATTGATACATGAAAATACTTAAACACTGAACGAAATAGAATGATTATCTTCATACATATTTATTTAGAAATAGAAAGCAATAACGATTTAACTAAATTCTTAAAATATTTAACATTATTTTTCAAGTGATTTTTGAAATTATTCCAGAAATGACACTGAACAATTCTTTCAAGTTTCTAATAGTAGTGACTTGGCTAAGATAACGGTTTTTCAGTTCAAGTGTCAAGAGTGTCTACATTGAATTGAGTGGAATGTACTAGTTTCACTAACACTCTATGTGTAGGTACAATTTAATTGATAAGCTGTTAATACAAATGAAATGAATATCACGGATTGTACCATGAACACTGCAGTCTAACTTCATTGTATTGATGATCTCTGCCAATTTTCTACGCATCTATGAAGTTTTTCAAATTCAACAATTTTTCATTCATAAGTTCTTGGTTGTTAAACATGTTCACTCTGGGCATGTAAGTAGTATAATTAATCTTTCACAATTAAATTATGACTGGTGAAACAAACTTTAAATTGACAATCAATGACTTAGAATAGTCGACTAGAAAGGTATACTGCTGTTGTATGCGTTTAACGATAGATTCATTCTTCCATTCTTTGCTGTCTATTGAATTTTTACAATGTTGGTTAGATGATATTAGGGGTATTTCGTTAATGTTCATAGGTAGTAGGCCTGTATACCTTCATAATAATATTTCATACCGTAAAAATAAAAATTTGTGACATTGGTTTAAACTTCCCTGAGACCGATCAATTTTCGCATGACGTGTACCAACTAGTATAAAACCTATATGGAGTAGTTCTTTTCAATTATCTTCAACACAAGTGTCCATTCTATATAAGTGACATTCAACAATTGCTTCAAATTTCATTCAACATTCGACTTGATATATTTTAAAGCTATATTTCTTGGTAAATTCTGGAAATTCTCCATCTTTTACTAATAATTTTGATGTTTGGATGTAACCTCTGAAAGAATATAGTAAACTTAATCTGTCAGAAAATGCTTAGATTATTAAAAAGTTCTTTAAAGAAGAATAGCACATAGTTCAAGGTTGATTGAAGCAAGGTATTAATACCATTGGATGCTGGTTCAATGATCGAGAATTCAAGCTTGGTTGCGTGAGACCGAAGTTACTGTGTTCCATCCCCTTGTACGTGGATTGTGTCTGCACGCCGCTGACGAACCTTGTACTAGGACGAAACGGTCACCCAGTGCATCCAGGTTTTCAATTGTGGTCAAACATTGATCAACTCAAGAGTTCAGTGATATCAATGTAATGAATGTATACTGATTTTGTATCCCGTCACCCTACTTATTAATATTGATGACCGCAACTGCTCACTCTCTATTAGTATATATGTATTCTGAGCAAGTCATCTGGTGATTACATTTATGTTACAAGTTCTTAGTAAAGTTGTGTTATGGGCATTCATTCCAATCGAACATTTTATTGAGTCTTTTGGTTGATTGAACAAAACGTTGTTATTTAAGGATGTAGATATATCCAGTTGATGAGTTCGAATCAGTGTAAAATTCATGTCATTTATTATACTGCTAAATATTATCCAACTTTACTAAATATTGACAGAATATTTACACAACTGACTAATGTTTGATCTTTATCAATCTAACCTTGAGAATGCTGTTTCTACAGTCATTTTCTTTATTCTATTTTATTTTAAGGAAATCAACAATCCCAATTAATATCGAATTCATATTCTATAACAGCAGCCACTCCCTTGTCATTGTCAACAATAACAACTCCTACACCAACAATCATACCGCCAACATTACATTCCAGTAAATTATTCAATCAATTTCAGTTGGATCAATCCATTTTATTAAATAGCAATAATAATAATCATAACAGTAAAAAGAATTCCACTTGTCATGCTGGTCGTAAACGTTCATTAACTAGTGAATTAAAAACAACGGAATTCCATAAACCAATCACTGAATCAATTGTAAATTCAAAAAAATGTAAATTTACTACAAATACTACTACAATTAATCATTCAAGTACTATCTATCCTGAGAAATATTTATCACATCAACAAGTTATCGATCCTACTCTTAATAATAATGATTCACTTATTAATCAAAGACCTGAATCAAATTATATTGAACATAAAACATTCGATAAAACTCCAGGTCAACAAGAACAAATGTTCAATAGTGAAATAAATCAAAGGTTCAATGAAAACATTGATGATCGTATCAATAATATGATTGATAATGATTATAATGAAGGTGATGCTGATGACGATGATGATGTCGATGACAGACAATGTTTAATGACAAATAAAAAAACTGCTTCACAAAAATTTCATCGTAATGATGATAATAATCACAGCAATAAACCACGAAAAGAACGTACTGCATTTACAAAACAACAAATATGTGAATTAGAAAAAGAATTTACTACACATAGTTATTTGACAAGATTACGTCGATATGAAATTGCGGTAGCATTGAATTTAACTGAAAGACAAGTAAGTTTCGAATGGTTTTTTCATTGTCAGTTCAATGTACAATTCATGCATGGACCAATAGCTATTGACACACTTCAACCTGTTCTTAGTTTACATTAGTGATTGATCTAAGACGAATAATAAAATACCAGGAAGTACTTAATAACTACTCAACAGTACTTGTCTCCCTCTTCATCAGGGACTGAACGCAACACCTTTAATCTCGTAGCAAGGGGCCTAACCTTTATATCATTATTAGTAAGGATTCGAATTATCCAGTCATTAATCTTCACGACTACAATTATCCATACTTTGTGTGATATGTTCAGTTGGTGAACGGATTGCCATGATATAACAAAGTCAAAGGTATTGGACTCAAGTGGCCATATTTACAATAAGGATATAGGCATATCCAGCTGATGAGTTCAAAATAAAAAGAAACATAGATTCTGTATTGTATTGTATTATTAGCTATAATTTATCTATTGTATATCCAATCATTTTTTCTAAGTACTAATATTTATTTCTAATTTATACAATCAAGATTTAAAATTTCACTAAATATTTAAAAGATCTGTTCAATAAATAAAAGAAATGGAGAAACAAAGCAAAACTTTTTAGGCAATACATAAAATGTTCAGAACTGATCATAAAGATCACTTTTTATTGAATTGAATGTTCCTATAAGGATAATGAAAGCTGTCAGGCAAGGACAATCATCAACCTGTCATAATGATGCAAGCATGTTTAATCATCCGAATGCCCTGGTATGACCGATACTGGAACGAGTCCATTCACCCTCTTCAAATACTGTCACATAACCAAGTGTATGTGACTAACTTCTCGCTAAAGCCAGAGGATGAAAAGTGAATGTCCAGTGCTGAAATCGAAATATTTGCTATGGAGGATCCATCTACGAGAATTGGAAATCCTCATTCCAAACCAATGATGCACATGGGCTCCCCCAGGGAATAAATGGCTACAATGGGATAGCATCTCTTTACATTGTTCCATTGCCTTGTAGATTAGACCTTCGGATCAAAGGTTCGATGGGTGATCCTCTAAGAGTACTAACTTTTTCAGTTTAGGCAGACAGGCAGAATGCCGACCCACTCACAAATTTAATAACTTGTGTGCTGCATAAACACTTAGGTATTTCTTTGTATCAATAATTATGTGTTGAAGTAAATAATAAGAAATTCTTTTCGATTACTAATTAATTGTTTGGATAATTTTAAGATGCGCTTGACTCAGGTCCGTTGGTTTAACAACAGTTATCATACGATAGAATTAACAGAATTCAATGAGCAGTCCTAAAAGCTAAATCACTATTGACATCAATCACATATTAGGTCAATGATCAATTAATTGTAAGCTTTAAGTATTAAACTATCAGAATGAATGATCATATCAAATCTGATTTTTATTTGTCAATAAAATTACAAAGAATCCCATAGAAAATGCTTCATCCCACCTTAACAACATACACATTGGATATGTAGGGTGTGTGTGTGCGTGTTATTTTTTAAATAAAATGTACACGAACAGGTGTAAAATGTAGAAACAGATCGTTGAATACATCTATCTATCTATCTATCTATCTATTGAAATAGATGATAATCTTTCTCTTGGTATATAATAATTATCCGACCTTGTTTATTGATGATAGCCGACAAAATTAATTATCCACCCTTAGAACAAAACAGCACAGAACAGAACAGAACAACAACAGAAAAGAGGAATCAACAAAACTACTGAACTGTGTTCTCTATTACCATGGTAGACATGTTCATCAATAAATTTTGTTTGTTCACTTGTTTGTTTTCTTGATTTTAGACTTTATAAAACATGAAATCAATCTATGTGTATACATTTGTACTATTCTATACAATGATAGTAGTAGCAGTGGTAGTAGTAGTAGTAGTGTTAGACATTTGTGATTACTACGTCTACAACTTCTGCATAGACAACTACTATTAAAGATGAAATTGTAGTAATCAGAATTAGTAGTCATAGTAAATAGGATTGGGAACGATAGATATACATATATATATTTGCATACATCACTAGTAAATCAAATAAGTGAATGAATACTTTTCATATTGTCGTCACTAGAATGATAGTTGGTCTGGTGTGAAATAAATCATTTAGGGAATCAATGATAATTATAGTATTTGTTTTAAATGGGATTTGTCAATTCTTACATGTTCATCTATGCACTACTATCAAGCGAGCAAGCGAGAGAGAGAGTAATTGTATTGTATTGTATTGTGCAGATTGTATTTGCTCACTTACACACGTACATATATACATACATCTATATGTGCAAGTAAATACAGATCGACTTCAGAAGAAGGGTGAGGATGAAATGCAAATAATTTTTGCATAAATGGCACATCTACCTACTCTGTAGTTGTTGTGTATCATCACGTATCACACTAAACTACAGCTAGTCTAGTTGCTAAGTCAAGGAAGTATTGAATTAAGAGAGAGAGATAGGTTTTGTTGTGAAAATATTATTTACAGTTTATTAGTTACAAGAAAACACATCTTCATGCAAACACACATGCATATATGCAACACAATCATTTTGGAATTCCTCACTCTGATCCCAAGAGGAATGAATATTCAATGCATGCTGATTGAGTCATTCATACATGTTCACATGTGCATACACAAAGACAGCAGTGAACTGAACACCATTGGGAAAAAAAAATCAATTTGGTGTCTTGTTTGTTTGTTTTTAGACTGAATGGATTTTAGTTTTTAATTTATTTTATTTTATTGTAAAAAAATATAAACTGACAAACGAAGACAATAAGATAGGCGAGTTCGTCTGAAATACATGGATGCGCACACACACACACACAAAATACTACGAGACACAGAAACTAAGATCTACCAACAACAACTAAAAAATGGATCATACAGTTTTTTTTCTACGGTTAATCCATAAAAAGACATTTTACAACGACAGATATAATAATATCATTAAAATATTTTCTGTTGTCAAGTATGTTTACAAGTTTAATTATGACAGTTGTATAGGTAGGTAGGTAGGTAGATAGATGTGTGTTTTCTATGTTGATCTCATGTTAATCAGCCAGGCAAATAATTATGTCTGAAAATACTAAAATGAACACGCACAGAAATATTAATTAAGTTCAAGAATATAAAATTAGATGTTCATAATTTGTACACTGTAATTTAATAGAAGTTTATATGATGATTTCACTTGGTGACCAAAAGTGTTGAATAGTAATAGATAGATGAGTCTTTATTCTATTGAATGTTAGAAGAATAAAAAAACCTTACAGACCTAATTGTTCAACAAGTAATTCATATTTTCATAGTTCAACTGCGATCTTAACTTGACTACCATTAACGCAATAAATGATCACCCACGGCCCCTGCACACGGTAATCAAACACAGGACTTTTAGTCTCGCATGTGAACGCTTTACCTCTAGACTACTAGGTTGACATCTAATGGTGTTAATGTCTAACTTCAATCAACCTATCTTCATATGCAACGATCATCCACTGCCTGCAGTTATGAAAATTATACAGTCTGCACAAATCACTGACTCACTGTCGACTGGCTTCATGATGAATCTCCGGAGTTCCATTCAGTAGCCGTAACTAGTGGAGTTTAATTTGTGTCGGGCAAGAGATAGTTATTCATCGTGGGTTGCATATGAAGATAGATTGACTGAAGTTAGACATTAACACCATTGGATGTCAACCCTGTAGTCTAGAGGTAAAGCGTTCGCATGCGAGACTGAAAGTCCTGTGTTTGATTACCGTGTGCAGGGGTTGTGGATGATGGTAGTCACGCTAAGATCATAGTTCATGATTTCAACTATGAAAGTAATACCATCTCCACTAATCCCCTCCATTAATAATTTATATTAACCCAGTAACTAGTTTATGCTAGTCAGAGGTGAAGGATAAAGTCCCTGTCTGAGACATGTGCATTACTAGGAAGTGATACAAAAGAAAGAAATAGTTGTAAAATGTTTCACCAACTTCTTGTCTATATGAATTCTAATCTGTTGCTCTGTCAATCTGATTCCATAACAAACAACACAGTGTAGTATCGTGAATTGTCTAGATCAACAAAGTACTGTAAACGAGTTTTCAGAAGTTTCCGTTTACTACTGTAGAAGAAATACCTAATCAGATAGATAGATAGATAGATGTGTGGTTAGATAGATAGATAGATGTGTGGATAGATAGATAGATAGATAGATAGATAGATAGATAGATAGATGTGGATAGATAGATAGATAGATAGATAGATAGATGTGTGGATAGATAGATAGATAGATAGATAGATAGATAGATAGATAGATAGATAGATAGATAGATAGATAGATAGATAGATAGATAGATAGATAGATAGATAGATAGATAGATAGATAGATAGATAGATAGATAGATAGATAGATAGATAGATAGATAGATAGATAGATAGATAGATAGATAGATAGATAGATAGATAGATAGATAGATAGATAGATAGATAGATAGATAGATAGATAGATAGATAGATAGATAGATAGATAGATAGATAGATAGATAACATCTGTAATAGATAAATAAATTTAGTTATCGCTAATTTCTATGCATTGAAATGAATCATCATGAAGTAAGAAGTTCCCTCGTACCCTAGAGCAGCATTATTTGTGTCTGTTTAGAGAATGGCTACCTAATTTTCTTCATATTTTATTCTTACATAGAAAAAATTCTCCCCCTCCCCCATCACCATAATAGTGTCTGCGTTGGTAACAAATATACATCTATATTGATCATGTTGTTATTTATTGGTTATGGAAGAGTTTTTGTCAGGATCTAAGTCAATCCTTGTCAACTACTTTTTTAACCTTTACAATAAAAAATGGTTGACCATAAAATCAATCTACGTGTACAAATATAATTCCTGATAAAACACTATGAAATATTTCTAGGTAATATGGAAACGCTTGTGTGTGTGTGTGTGTGTGTGTGTAGGAGTGTTTGTGACAATGTAACCTGACGGAAATTCACATTGCTACCATTAATAAAAATGGATCTGAATCCTGTGCAGGAAGTGTATTATGCTCTGACCACACCACACACACACGCACAACCCCCCTTCAAACAAGCACAATTGTATGCTTAATCATAAAATAAAATGCTGTGATTTTCACTTGACGCTTCATACATGATTTGTTTTGACTGATTCCTTGAAATTAAACAAAAATTGCCCAGGTCATCAATTAGTTTATTTTGATATATTGACACGTGAACTGACGACCGGTCAGCAACAAGAATGTAATATTTTTGAGAGAGGAAAAAATTGAGACTAAACAAAATATGAATTATTATTATGATTATTATTATTGTCATTTTGTAATCTCTTACAAAAGTTAAAATTAATATTGTCAATTAAAAAAATTTTGTGATAAAATTTTCAACCAATTTTTTTTCTCAAAGAAAAATAAGATAATTACTTTACCAGTTGAAAATTTTAATTTTCTATTATCAATATATAAGTAATTTTCAGAATATAAATGAGTTAGCAGGCAAAACTTGAATTTACAAACCAACCAATCACATTTGAGATAAGAAGTTTCGAATTTTGGCATAAAGTTAATCCACACTTAAAATCATCAATCAATCATTGTTAGACCACCATTGGAAACCTGGAAGCACTGCACAGCCGTTTCGTCCTGCTATGGGATTCATCAGCAGTGCGCATCCACGACTCCTGCTCCTCACAGGACTCGAACCCAAGGCCTTCGGCATTGTAGGCCAACGCCTTACCATCGGACCACTGGGCCGGCATCCAACGGTGTTAATGTCTAACTCTGATTGATCTAGGGATTCTGCGCGACCTCACCCATTTGTCTTTGTTAGTTACTGCCTACACCCGACAGGGTTGAACTCCATTGGTCACGTCTTCTCAACTGCTGATGAGTCCCACACCAGGACGAAACGGCCGTCCAGTGCTTCCAGGTTTCCAACGGTGGTCTAAAAGTGATTGATTGATGATTCCAAATGTGTAAAAACGCAAACCTCCAAAACTCTGCCTCAAAATAAAATTAATCCATTTATATGAGTGAATAATATTTTGACACTATGGCTGATGTCGATTCATTGTGAAATCGCAAAACTTTAAGTCTTAACGCTAAAATCCACTTCTAAAGCCTATTCCTAATTCCCCACACTAATTGATAACCTAATCCTGACCCCAGTAAGTAGATGATTATTCTCAAGGTCACTTTGGCATCGTTCAAAGGTCTCCCATAAAAATTATCGTCTCAACTATTAATCGCGTTGTCTATTGACGCGTGTATAGCAAAAGTTTACAGCCTGTCATCACTTCACAAAGTATAAAAGAGTACACAATCCGTAACTTCGCAGTGGCTGGCAATATACATTGTAAAAGGAAACTTGTTGAAATATTCCATGCTGAATATTCTATATTGTATTTAACAAATAATATTTGATAAAGCCATTATTATTATTATTATTATTATTACTATTAGGTAAAAGTTTGGTTTCAAAATCGACGAATGAAATTTAAACGAATGCGGAGTAAGTTTGAAATAAGTAATTAACTTTTTGATAATATTATTCAAATGTTTTTTTGAATAACTTCAAATATTCTTTATTGTCATTTAAACAATAAACTTTAATGAAAGTGTGTTGTTTGTTGAAAAAGATAAGTTTATTATAGAAGTAGTATTTGTTAGTAGTATTGTAAATCCTTGATGAATATTCTCTATAGAATTAATAAAAATTAAAAAAAACTTTTATATTATAAAATATAACTTTGGCTTCTCACTAGTGACTTATTTTGAGATAAATTTTTGAAAGTTGCAGTAGAATTACAACAATGTAACGAGTTAAACAAGCGTTTTTTTTAAGATAACTTGAACAGCTGACTAATATTTAAATTGTCTGCAGTTATACATGGTTTAATACCAGTGATTTATGGTCCACATGAAATAGCTAGATGGACTTTCGAAAGATGAACTTATAAGCTTTCATGATATTTTCAAATGAATTATGACTTCAAACCAAATGAAACTTCTCAGTTTCATGAATCGTAGACAGTCAAATGTTGAAAATTTTATAAATGGAGTTATATTATGTGGTTCGAGATAAGTCACAAGAAACTCTGTTTAGCACAGGTTTAATCCCAGTTAGCTCTTGTCACCAAATCATCAAGGAACTAATGTTCCTGATAACAGTCAAATATGCACACTACCCAGCTTCAAAATCAGATATTTTACTAATGAGCTATTCATATATCACAGTAACATCCAAACTTTCATCAATGGATTATCAAGTTGCAACCGAGGTCGTGTTTGTTGTTTATTGACTAGTATGTTGATTAAATTCTGTGAATTTAACAATGATTGATTGAAGATTTCAAATGTGTAAAAAAACACAAATCTCCAAAACTCTAACCGAAAATATCGTAACATGTGCTCACTAGTGACTAGCTTCGTGAGGAAATTCTCAGAGTTCTAGTTGAGAAGACGTGACCAATGGAGTCCAACCCTGTCGGGTGTAGGCAGTAACTACCGAAGAGAAATAAGATTTAGAAGTGAATGTTAGCTTTAAGACTTGGAGTTTTGCGATTTCAGAACGAATTGACATCAGCCATAATGTCGAAGTGATATTCACTCATATAAATGGATTAATTTTATTTTGAGGCAGAGTTTGGGAGGTTTGCGTTTTTACACATTTGAAATCATCAATCAATCATTGTTAGACCACCATTGGAAACCTGGAAGCACTGGACGGCCGTTTCTTCCTCGTGTGGGACTCATCAGCAGTTGAGAAGACGTGAAACAATGGAGTTCAACCCTGTCGAGTGTAGGCAGTAACTACCAAAGACAAATGGGTGAGGTTACACGAAATCCCTAGATCAATCAGAGTTAGACATTAACACCGTTGGATGCCGGCCCAGTGGTCCGATGGTTAGGCGTTCGCGCACAATACTGAAGGTCCCGTGTTCGAATCCTGCGAGGTGCAGGAGTTGTGGATGCGCACTGCTGATGAGTCCCATTCCAGGACAAAACGGCCATCCAGTGCTTCCAGGTTTCCAATGGTGGTCTAACAGTGATTGATTGATGATTTCGAATGTGTAAAAACACAAATCTCCAAAGCTCTAACTGAAAATTTACTTCGTAGTGTAGCTACTAGTCGAATAGATTTTTCAGTTCATGTATTATACTTTGATGCTACGTAAGAGAAACAATCATTGATACTATTCAACCATAAACCTCATAGAGATCATATTTAATGATTGGAAGTGTACTATTGCCTCATTATTAACATATACAAAAGTCTTCAACCCGAATCTATTAAGTTTAATGCAAGAAGAATTCATTAGTATAGTGAGAAGTGCTAATTCCTAAATGTTAAATCAAGTCTGTTGAATAATGTCAGGAAAAGCAATTATGAAATTGTAAAAATCTTATATCAGCCTATACGTAATAGACAAACATATACGGTGTTGAATACTTAATCACTAGCTCAGCAATCTATATCTTAGGCATTCTCATGTTCCAGGTTTAAAGGTGTATTCAATGTGATTGCAGTTTCGGGATATAATGGAAGTGAACTTCTGTAAAGTCCAAATGATGCTTTCAAGCATGTAACGCTTGTGTAAATTAGATTGTTTAGGATTTTCTCTGTCATTACTGCAAAATTTATGTAGAATGATCGATTTTAGTTGCTTCGGCTCAGAACTCACCCCCGATCCCTCATTAAAATGTTGTTTTACTTTTTAGGTAACAGTATTTCTAAAGATGAAACTTATCCAATTCAACTATCATATAATGACGATGACGATGTTGATGATGATGATGATGATGATGACGATTGACAATGAAGTATGCAATAATCATTTGTCACATTCTTAAATCATAACAATAATCTAGTTTTTTGAATGAACCAAATACAATTGTGTTTATTTTATTCTGTGAATAAATTTTAACAATACCAAAATACCATTTTTTTCTAATTTGTACAGAGAAATGTAACAATTAACTTTTATGAGGTATATTTTCTTTTCCCATTCTCCTCCTATTTCTCATCTCCCTCTCTCTTCTTCTCTATTGTTGTTGTAATTTCATTCACACTTACAAGTGTGTTGTGTTTTGATTATCAAATCTCAGTCAACTCATTCAGAATTGTATAAACATTTTGTTTTTTTGTTTTGTTTTTCAATCAATTATTCTTCTTAATATAAAGTTAAGAAACTAAACACACACATACTACTTCCATGATCGTTCAAGTCACATGTATACAAATCAAAAGGTATACTACGTAAAATCATTCCTCTGATTTAAACAATAATGTGTGCAGTTATAACCAGCTTCATTCAAATAGAATTCCTTGTTTATGACCTCTCACCTACATGTTGGCTTTGAGACAGATTGTGTGCACAGATACACTGCCGCCATCAGTATTATCGAGAAATGATAAATAGCATGTTTTTATGACGGATATAATTCAGCGGTATTGTTTCCGGTTATATTACTGGATGAACTGTGTTGAAACTACACTTAAAATATTAGTTCGATTTATTTTGATTTATTTTTTCTGGTTAGCGTTTTCTTTGGCAAGTTAGTTTTTTGGTGGGATGGGGTTGCCAACCCCATGTCCAACCCCTCCTCCTTTATCCGGGCTTGGGACCGACAGTAGCCCCGAAGGTCCCACAGGCTGAGTTCGGGAAGCTCAGGACAGAGTTGGTAGGAGAAAACTGGTGGGCGGCCTATGTTCCATTGGGGGTAACAGGCGTAAGTAAGTAAGTAAGTTAGTAAAACATTTGTTAGCTTAGAATTATCTTTCTTCCTGACCAGTATTGGTTAGGACAAAACATGGAGCGAATTGGGCTACATTTTGATTGATAGTTTATTCATAGTAGACTCTCAGAAAGAGCAAATAGAAAACACGATTATTACAATAGGTAACAACAATTCTTACTCATAACGTCGTCATGTCATTTTATTTTTATAACTCTACCTGATAAATTCTTTCGTGAATTTATTAATAAAGGCTTTGTTTTGGCTGGGATGAAACATTTGCTTTTGAAATAGATTGTTTCTGAAAAGGTTAGTACTTATAGAAGGTATCTGGTGTGTTTCAGAACACAGTCAAATTGGTTTTTAGAGAATTTTAAAGTTAGTTCCATATATTTATGATTGAAATTCGAAATGTAATAACACATTGGTTATGGTGGTCTAACATTGATCGATTCATGGTTTCAAAAAATGTGTAACTTAACAATCTTCACAACCCCGTAATGCACACAGGTTATGTCTTCTTGTTAAAAACTAATAAAATAGGACTAACATGTCTAAAATTGATAAACATGTGAAAACTAACTCATTAAGATCATCGATTTTAAGTTGATGATGACAACTCAAAATATATTCACAGTTGAAATCAACGAAGTAACCGCTTAAGCATTTGATTCACATAGATCTGATAAGCACAAATCAACCCGATTCTTAATCGATACTTCTATCTGCTAATGACGTATTTTTCTAGTCCGGACTTAGTGTCCAACACCTGACCTAATATCCCTGATCTGAGCCCTAATTTTAACTGCTATTCTCAACCGTAAATTCTAGTGTTTTATGGGCGGCTTTTATTTAATAAAGTATTCAGTTAAGCCAACTAGATATTGGTTTCATTTTCTCAAGGTTACTTTGGAGTTGGTGAATGTTTTTGTGTGCATAACTTCAGTTTCAAACGATAAATAGTTAAAGCTTCTGCTGTTTAAGGTAGACTTTTGAGAATGTAATACTGAACCACATAAATTGTGTCTAGTGAAGAATTATATGACAATTATTCTCAATACTTCTACTACGCCTTGTAAAACAAAGGACATAATTTATTGGAAGTTTTGAAATTTTCCTCGGAAAAGTCTCTAGAGGCCCAGAAACGCTACGTAAACTTCCATCCAATCATCACTGAATAGAACCATCAAGGAAGCATCTAGAAGATGCATAATCACGTGCCGTGATCCTCACTGAATATTTAGCCATACAGCCCTATGGTTCCTCAAACTTTTAGAAGCCTAAGGTCTTGAGTAAGTTTATGAATACCATCATTTTTCTGTCAATAAACTAACCTTAAAAATAAAGTGTTCTCTTTGTACTTCGTGCCTTTTCTCTTAAGTTCAAGTTAATGTGTAGATGTATTCTGGGGTTATTAGAATCTTTTAGGAAATCAGATCTTGTGTTCATCATTGATCTACACGGTATTTTTCCATTAACAGATGCTTTCTATTGATTTGAATATACTCATAGTTGTAAGCATTTGTTCGATTCCTTTCTATTCAATACACTTTCCTATCCCATTGATAATTTCACTTCATAAAAACTATTGATTAAAACATCACTTCAATGTTTCGTGAATGAATGAATAAACTATTTTAGGTTATTTAAATTCATTCAAACTTCTCTATAATATCATACATGTTTAATAAGGCTTTACAAAAATATTGTAACTATTCCATATCAAACGAATCACAACAAGCCATGAAAATTCACACTTTTTCATATTTCTAATTAAAATATCAAAGTCAAATGAAAAAGGATCATTTTGAAGAGAAATAATGGGGAAATTCTTAAGTATGGTTGTTATATATATGAATGCAATTCAATTGATTTTGATAAAACATTTCTGCCACTCCTATAGTTTGATGAGAAAAATCACTTTCTTAAATGAATTAGTTTATGCGAAAATTATTATGATTATTATTATTAAGTGCAAAACACTACATATTACAACACATAATTAATAAATTTCCAAAATATTTTCTACTCAATATATTCTCCTTTATAAATAGGTCAGTCATTTGCAACGTACAACTTCTTACGTATGTACATACATAAGTTCATGTTGCCATACCACATTAGCACAGAGACACAAATGTCAAATCAAATGCCATAGTGATAAAGATAGTAGAGGTATTAATGATAACGAAGAAGACTAGGGTTTGAAGATATTATTCAAGAAGTATAATTCAACGAGATAAAATTAGAAAGACAAAGGTAGAGGTGCTGACGATTCCAGAAGAATAGGATTTGAGAGAGCTCAAAGAATGGGTGCACTTGCGCCATTGCAAACGATTTTGAGCCATGTAGTTCAAGGTCTCTAACCATCAGTGACTTTCGTCTCACTGACTACAACCAGGTAAGTCTACATCTACTAACATGACTCAGTCCACTTGTCAGTGACTTCATGCATTTCTGCCATGTTTTGGTTAGGCCGCCCCTAGCATTCTTCCAACCTACTCCTACACCATAAAACATCACTCGTCGCGGCAGTCGGTGGTCGGGCATACGTAACACATTTCCCAACCACCACTACTTCATCTATTGATTTGCGATCCCTACGTAGTACTCGTTTCCTAACGACAGCATTGTTTACTCTGTTGTCCCACGATATACGAGCAATGTTTCTAAGACATCTATGATCGAATACTAGTAACCTACGAACATCTTCTAGTCTGAACGGCCATATTTCACAGCCATGTAGGAGAACGGAGCTGTACTGCTACGCAGTACACCCGTCCTTTTGTTAGCGAACGGATATCTCAATGCATCGAAATGTAGATATTGGCTAATTCATTTTAGACTCTTTAATAAAGATCCTGCTAGAACTCTAAACACAATGATTGACATTGAAAAAACACACACACAAGAGTTCAGTTATGATTCAATTGTGATGCATTTCAATATTAACTCAGTAAAACTTGTCACATAACATTAGATTAAAACATTTTTTCACTGATAATGTACATAAATAACAAATTAACTATCTGAATCTCATCATCAATGATAAATTAACAGACCTTATTATAAAACAGAATCAGAGACAATAATACAGCGAAGAAATTTTTTTTCAACAAAATCATTTACTTAAACTAATATTTGCGGTTGTGGAAATTGTCATTGTACACTGATGATGAAACCTGAACAAGGACGAAATGGCCATCTAGTCAATGCTTTCAGGTTTCTAATGTTCAGCTGATCAGTTCATGATTTCGATGATATTCGACAATATCCATTGATGCGCATTCCTTGTAAGTCTTGTAGTAGGACGTAAAGGTCATTTAGTGAATGCTTTCAAGTTTCTAATGTTGGTCTAGCATTGATCAATGCATACATGATTTCAGTGACATTTGTCAATAACTTTAAGTATGATTATACAGTTTAAGTAAATGATATCGTTAAAAAATCAAATTTTCTTCTTTACTGTCATCTTTTGAAATCTTGCAAGACCCTCTTGGTAATTAAAGAATCCAAAGGGGTTTCTTTGTTATCCTGTCAAGCTTGCCACATAGCAAGCACCAGAATTAAGTTTTTCAAAATCACAAATCCTTCATTAAGTTTTTAATTCCCAATTTTTTATTTCAAGATAGTTTTTTCCGAAACTGTTAATTATTAACTATGACACTCAGAGTATAATAATTATTTAAATAACCCTCCCCTCCAATTAAATCTTATTCCCTCATAGATACAACAATTCATGTATGCAGATACCTACACACACACATGCACACATCATAATCATCCACATGGAGTGGGTTAATTAAAATAGAAAATATTTTGAAAGAAAGCAGTGCTTCATTTCCTCTAATTTCATTTAACAATTCTTATTCGTTATCATCTACTGGGGTCAATATTCATTCTGATTTTTCTGTGAACAAAAAATCCTTAACACATTCACAATTCAATTATAATTTTTTTCTCTTCAACATTTCACACCATCAAACTAAAATAGTTAGTTGATTGAATAGAAAAAAGTGAAAAAAGTTTTAATAAAACACGTGACTTAAAAAAAGGCTAATTAACTAGGTAATAATTATTTAATTATTGCAATTTTCGATCTCTTTCATTGTTGAGGTGTTCAAAATTTCAGAACGAAAAAAATTAAAATGAAAATTGACAAATTGAATGAATGATTGGTTATTATTATGGTCAAAAAACAAAAAGTATTTCATTTTAATGATGTGTATTCGTTTCTTTTTTTCTAAACAAATTTAACTAGTTATTAATAATAAAGATGAAATTATTTAATTGCCTAACATGGTAACTAAAAACTAAGGCTATTTTTTTCTTAATTATAAATGATTGATTGAGGGTTTTTTATTTTTTGAAAAAATTATTTTCTAAATACTTAGCTTTGATACTTAAATAAAATAATTCAGTATGTAAGTTGTAGGCAATAGATCAATATAGTGGACCTAAGCAATGTGTATCTATAACTCCATCAAGTATTGAACCCTAGGCCTTCAGGTTTCGAGGCCAGTCTAAGGAAACTACTAGCAGTGAAATCTTAGGTGCACATTTTAGAATTCATCAGCTGTGTACCTGCATCTAAAAGTTGGTGTTTACTCCGCGACTAGAAGGATGAAACTCGCGTCTTAGATTCCATTGTTAGCGTCATAATGCAATCTGAATAGGATATCAAAATACCAACTAAGACTGATCAAATTTCACTCCAAAATATCAACAACAAGATAATCCAAACTATTTTCATTTAAGTTAAAATCACTTCAATTTCCAGGGGTACATTATCAACTTCGACTGATTTTTCTTATGGTACGAGGGAAATCCAATGCCATAAGTGACAGCTATTCCTATCGTGACATGGAGACTCAACAAAGATCATTCTGTGATAAAAACAATCTCCAAGTGTTAGGATATTCATCCAATATCCTAAGAGGATTATTGGTCAATTCCCATTGGTTACTACCTACTGGTCATTTTTATGGTCGTCCTAGATATCAATGTCACGTGCTCCAATATTGTTTCTTATTGGTTGTCCTGACTGTCAATGTCAGAAACTTCGATGCTGTTTCATATTCGACCAAAATGTATATATACGCATTATCTGTAACGTTTTATGATCACGACCAGGACCAGAACCCGGTCCCGGATCCCTAGTCTGGAATCCTGATTCTCTTCTGGATTCAGACCTCGTACTTTGTGGATGCTTGTAGAATACATGTTCTACTTCATATCAAGTCTCTTTATTTTGCTCAATAAGGGGGCTAGGATAATCGGATTAGAGTAGCATGTCGTGTCACCGGATCCTCGATCCTCGCTCTCGATTCCCGACTAAGATAAACTCGTAATAGTTCAAGCATATCAAAATCACGTGTTTACGTGCAGGCATAACACCAAGCTAAACTGATTCTCACTTAAAAACTGGAAGGATGAAACTCACGTCCTAGATTCCATTGTTAGCGTCATAATGGCTATATCGATGTGATCTGCATAGGATATCAAAATACCAACTAAGACTGATCAAATTTCACTTCAAGTATCAACAACAAGATAATCCAAACTATTTTCATTTCAGTTAAAATCACTTTTTCAATTTCCAGGGGTACATTATCAACTCCGACTGATTTTTCTAATGGTTCGAGGGAAATCCAATGCCACTGGTCACAGCTATTCCTCTCGTGATATGGTGCCGGTGAGGAATACTATCTCCAAGCTAAACCGATTCCCATTTAAAACTCCTTCACCGAGATGATTAGGTGTTTTGATTTTCGAATAGTTAAAAGCAACTTGATTCAATCACAGATATGAAGTTATTAATTCACACTAGTGTAGTGACCCGAATAAAATTAAAATAACTGTTTATTCCTCTCAAATTGTTAACGTTTTCCAATTGTAACGTACAAAGTCAAGACCAAATGGAACGTAAATTTTTGGCGAAAACACAATTCATCTATAAACATTCATTTACAATACTTCAAAATACTCTGATCTTGTCATGAATTTTGATCTTCAGACACTCCTGTTTCGCAGCAACTCCATAAAGACTCTGCACTACATGCTACTCTACCATAAATGCGATCGTACAAGTAGCATCCAACACATTCTAACTGAATACATTGATTCAACATTTGGGAATAATTAATATTTATTAATAATGAATTTTCTAATGTTTGTGTGTTAATGATTCCTTTGATAAATAAATAGATATATATAGATATATATTTATATTCTGTTTGTCATCAGTTGTTGATTGATTTCTCATTAACTACTGTTGTGTGATTGATTAATCCTAACCTATTGCTTAATTTATTATTCTCAGCCTTTTTTGGCTTGCTCATATATAAATCAAGGTGTTTTCTCATTTTATGCTGTATGGTATAATCTGATATGTTTGTGCAATAAACTATGCTTGAATTTAAACTAATTTTTGTGGAGGCTGGCTTCTGGACGTGTAAGAAAATAGGAGGTATCAAGTTGTGAACCGAGTTTAGAGTTTAGAGCTGATTCAAGTTTTCTGGTGCTCAGATGTAGTTCTGATTAGTGTTTCATATGTTTTCACAGGATAATGAGTAGCGCTTAGGGTTGAAACAGATGGGAAATGTGAAACTATTCAGGCAATACAGTATCACACTCTGTTCATGTTATCAACTATTTCTTCTATCTCATAACCTAATGTAGCCAAACTGAACTACGAATACTAATAAGCACTTTAGTAACTCATGTAAAAATTAAAGAAAGCTAAAACAAAAGCTAAACCTTAAGATCTAGCAGATGACAACACTTAACCTTTTAACCAATAGCTTACTTGATAAATTCCAATGAATTTATGATATTGCCCAATCATATCCTATTGTCTTTGTCGCAGAACTAACTGTCTCACACCTCATACGATTACATTAATTTCAATTGGTCATTCGTGAGATCAATCGAGTTCAACTGTGTCAAATGTGAGGCAATTATTCAATTCAGCAATGTTAACAGAAAATGCGGATGATGATGATGACATTCACTGGAGTAAATATTTATTCTATTTATAGTAGGTAACCTCTAACGAATGGTTCTATTAATTCTAAGGGTCATTTGATCGTATCAAATTCAACAGGGTATCAAGTACATCATAACTGATGAATGAAATTCCCTTCATGTGCGTTGATGAGAATAAACCAACCAGTCAATAAATCAATAAAAAAGGGAGAAAACAAATTAAAATGAAATTAAAATAGAATGGTATATATATATATATATTTTTTTCAATTTTATAAATAGCATTGGATTTTCAATCAACCATATTAAACACATTCAACAATAGTTACATAGAAAGACATGATAATATTTGCATTACAGAAATAGGATTTTGTGAATGAAAAATAAAAAGGATAAGTGAAAAAGAAGTAGTGAAAAATACCATGGTGATTGTGATCGTGAGGTAATTTAAACAAAAAACCAATAATCATAATCATAATAATAATTGCAAACGACTTCATTCATATATATAACAGAATTCAAATAAAATGATGAAAATAATTCTTGTTTAATATTATTAACAAAAAGAAAATAAATAAACACACACTCACACATAAACACAATTGATTGAAAGAAATGAGACGACAAAGACAGAGAGGAGTTTTATACATTTCAAATAGAAAAAATAATAACAATAATAATCATAATACTCCTCTCTCTTTACATGTAAGTATGAAAAGTATCATGATGAAATTAAGCGCTAACTGGTTCTCGATAAATAATCAAACAAACTTGACATCTAGTCATCTATTTATTATTCAATAAGTCAAACAGAAAAAAATCCATGAAACATTAAATTTTATTCAAACGACGAAGACTGATTGATTGATTGTTCTTTTTTAAAATTAATTTATGTACAAGTGTTTATTTCGACTAATTCACTTCTTTTATAGGCAAGCATCACTAAGATTTCCCCCTTTAATTATGCTCATTGGCACAATCATCTGAAATGTGTGTGTGTGTGTGTGTGTACATGATTACATAGTGTTGATATATAAATAATCATTCTATATATACATGTTACATATTTATTCATGAACAGAGTAATTTTCAATAATGTTCTTATGCTGTTTTTATTCTCTTTTTTTAAATATCAGTTTTATTTATTTTCATATGAAATGAATCTAATTCAGATACAACAACACTAAGTGATGAGTTAGATTTTCAGCTGTAAAATACTTTTTTCAAGAGAACAGGTTGAAAGTAGTTACAGAAACATGTACTACCACTACTACTACTACTACAACCATACTCGCATTTATATGTGTATATAAATATGTATATGTGTGTGCGTGAATGTATACATCTGTCTGTGTACAGTATACAATTGGGCAGTTGGATTTTTGCAGTAAAACAGAAATAAACAAGGAACAAGGCACGCACACATTCATACATACACACACACCTATATATACATTATTGTGTTGTATTGTATACATACAGTTTGTAACATACAAATGTTAAAAAGATTTTGTTCAATATTCAATATATATCTGTATATCTATCTGTCTATATAGCTATACAGATATTTTTAAATTATCTGAATGCAAGGAATTGTGAATAAAGAGGATGTTGTTCATGAGTACAAACAGTTCTTGAAAATGGTATGTACAAATGGAAAAAAAAAGAAATCTATGTTCAATTCATGAGCGGTAAATTTGTTTTATCGATCTAAAATGATGCTTTGATCATATTTAAAGTCGATCAATTATTATATCAGTCGATATGGATGATGTGTCGAGTGTTGACGAGGAAATTGGTACTTGTGTACTTACAGCAGCAGCAGTAGTACTGGTTGTTGTTGTTGTAGTAGTTGTAACAGTAGAATACGGCGGTGGAGAAGGTCTACATTGTGCATCTTCTAATTCATACAATAATATTGGTGATTTCGAAATTTGAAATGATCGTCGTAAATTCATTAATCGTCGACATAGTGCATGACCCCATTGATTTACATACCAATCAGGTCCATATCCTCTGTAAGTTAAACAATAGTTGAACAATTAACCGAAAATAATAAGAATAATAATAGTGATAGTTATTATTAAGCCACTTCCAGTTTCATAAGCTATTTTAGCTTTCTATAACTTATGTTATCATAAACATGACTATCAGCATCTTGGAAAGCTTGTATATTTTTGTAAATATTTCATACTACTGAAAATAACATCACTTGACAATGTTTAACACAAAAAAAATACACAGTTCTACTTGTAGAATTAAATTTACTTACAGATGAATTAGTTGAATAAGTTCCACTACTGTCTCATACAGAGTCTTAGTCAGAACAGGTTACTATGTAAAAAGGCAACAAATATAAACTGTTTCTAGGTTGTAACTTAATGCTAGCCATGATTCCCCTGAGATGTTACGTCTTCATAATCCAGTTAATCACCAGGAGAAAGAGAAAGGATGAGAGTAAGCAACCTTGCCTGACACCGGTCTTCACCTTGAAAGAGTCTGTCCGTGCACGGCTTTGCAGCTGAATCCATCATAAGAATTCCGTATAATGTTGACTATCTTCTCAGGCACACCGTAGTGTCGAAGAAGCCTCCATAGTGTTGTCCTGTCCACGGTATCAAATGCTTTCTCGTAGTCAGTGAAGTTGATGTGGAGTAGTGAGTTTCTTTCAACTGATTGTTTCTGACCCATAATGTTGCAATTTGGTCGGTATGCTATCAATATTTACGAATGCCAGCCTGTTGATCTTGAAATTAGGCGTCTGCGAAGCCCTTCATTCTGTTTAACAATACCCTGTTGAAAACTTTGCTTGGTATTGAGAGAAGAGCGATACCTCTGTAGTTCTCACGCTTGCTGAGATGGCCATTCTTTGGTATTTTGATGAGGTATCCTTCTTTCCAGTCTGTTTGTATTTGTTATCTATCCCTAATGTTTTTGAAGAGAAAATGAAATACTTTTGCGGTTGCTGCCACGTCTGCTTTAAGTGCCTCAGCTGGAATGTTTTCTGGTCCCTCTGCCTTGCCGCCCTTGACATGTCTGATGGCTATGCTGATCCCTTCAATTTTTGGTGGGCCAAGATTGATTGGGAGGTCCATGGGCGCTGCTTCAATGTTGGGTGGATTCAGTGGAGCTTGTCGATTCAACGGTTCCTTAAAGTGCTCTATCCACCTATTTCGCTGCTCTTCAATGTCGGTGAATGCTTTGCTTTCCTTGCTTTTCACTGGTCGTTCTGGTTCGCGATATTTTCCAGCGAGCTTCTTTGTTGTTTCGTACAATTGTCTCAAGTTTCCGTCTCTTGCAGCCTTTTCTGCCGTCATTGCTAGATCTTCCACATATTTCCGTTTGTCTGCTCTGATGCTCTTCATCACTTCCCTGTTTGCTTCTGTGTATGCAGCTTGTGCCCTAACTTTCTCTGCTCTTGTTCGGCTGACATTGATTGCTACCTTCTTGTCCCTCTTTCTTTAATTTTTTAAGAGTACCAACTGAGATCCATTCCTTGTGATGGTACTTCCTGTGGCCCAGAACCTCATGATATGTTGAAGTGATGGTCTAGCATTGATCAATACATGATTTCACAATCTCTACAACTCTATAATTAAAACAAATCATCAACTACTTACTTTACATCAACTCGAGATAATAAATAGACACGACAGCCTTGACCATTATTATCTGGACGAATATAAACATGATCTTCATAGACATGACCTAAAACATTGGTTGATTGATTGATTGATAATGTTGTTGAAGTAGAAGAATAAGTAGTATTGTTGATATGAGAAAATGCAGAATTATAAATTGATTCACTTAACATAGCACAACCGCCATCATTTAATGTGTATTGTATACCACGTAATAATTGTAAAAGACATTTTGGTTGTGGATACAATGAAGCTAAATGTAATTCACATAGATCAACACTGTCAGATATTTGATCAACTATTGTCATTTGTACAATTTCTGGATCCCATGATGATCTAAGTTTAGTGGTAGTAGAAGAAGACAAAGAAGAATATACAAGAGGGTGAAATAAAAAGAAGAAATGACATCAAGAAATGTTGATTATAAGAAAAAATAGTGATTCTTTTATTAGCATCTTATAGTGTGTATTTTAACACAGAGTCAGTTAGTACAAATGTCATTGTGAAATTTACAAAACTCTCCATCGTTAATGTCTGGATAGTATGATATTCTATTGATTACGAAAAGATGATCACCTTTGATGTTAATTCAATAAATTACTTTATTGGGAACCAATTAAACAATAGATAAATGTATGGATAATGAATGTTCAGATTTTATTAAGAATTCTGTGTGCATTAACAACATGAACTAATATGGGATAAGGGATTTTGGAAGAAAATCTAGGAGCTCCTATAAGATACCTGTGACTAGTGTTATGTCCACTATTATGTCGAGCCCACATGGCTTGCCTCAGCCTCTGGAATAATCAATTAATCCACTCTTCTTTATACGTCATTTGACCTTCTTAATTATTCGCTTATAACTTTGGATGTTTTTAGTTGAGTCAGTATGTGCACTGCTTGCTTAAACTTTGCACATGTCTAGCTTACTTTTGTTTCACTGTAAATACTTAACCATGCGTCTTCATCAAATAGAGTTGGCTCATTAGACGAATCCATTTCACATTACTTCGCTTTGCTTTTACACTTTCCATGCTATTGTCTGTCTGCTTACGAAAATGCATGAAATCAATTCATCCAAAATCAATCGTATTGATGCTAGAGATAGGAAATAATCAATCTCTATCAGTATATGTGCATCCTGTACGATTTGTCTCAATAGGATACTTGAAATTACAATTTGATTATTAAATTTGTTTAGTGTTTAACAATGTAAGTGTTTTAAATTATCATAGATTAAAGTTTGATTTAATAATTTCTAATTATTAACTGAGCATCGAGTGCATTGTTAATAGCGTCTTTCTGAAGAAGACAGTGGCTCAGCAATTAAATAATTCAACTCATAATCAATATAGCTCAAGTTTTATTTGAGAAACAAGGTAGCGGCATATCTAGTTTTATCATTTAGCACTGTAAATCAAAGTGAGTTAAGTAGATAAATTCGTTCTAAATAAATAATTGGAGGCAAATATGAAAAGAGTGAACAAAATTAACCCTGGTTCCTTTAATTGTCTTATTATACCATACATTCAAAGTAGAAATAGAATTCTTACTACATACGCCAAAATTGTTGTACGGTATAGCTATGAAATATCGAGAACCACTACAAACAACATTCAAAAGACACAGGTATTTATAAACACCTGGATACGCCGTACTTGTTTACTTCACATCGGCTGGCTGGACACCATCAGCAACAATCTACTGATGAAGAAATTAGGAAAAAGCACTGGCAGTGGCTGGGCCACCGCATATTGCAGAAAGCACTCAACTTCGTTATGGAGCAAGTCCTAACTTGAAATCCTCAAAGTCAGAGGAAAAGAGGCAGAATGAAGAATCGGAGGCAGGCATGAAAAGAATGAAGTGTGACTGGAAACAACCCGGAAATTCGAGTCCAGAACAGAGTTGGATGAAGAATCCTGGTCGGCTGCGTCTGCTCCACAAGCGGTAAGCGAGTAATATTTTCGATTAAATATTTTGTTTCGCTAAGTCTGTGTAAATTATTTGAAGAAATCAAGGGTATCAGGAGTAAGTAAGTAAAAACAGTTTTAAAAAAGGAATAGAAAATAATGTAATGACATAGACAAAACATGTGTTTTTTAGCTAATAAATAAACCAGTAAACAAATAAAATCAATTTACCTAGTTTCGACAAATCGATTTAAAATTACACGTGGATCGGTTTCTGGTATGTCTAATGAACAACGCCATAAACGTAATGTATTTGATGTGATTTTTGATTCAGTTGCATTTGGCAGCTTTTTGTAATGAATTTCAAAATCACTCAATGATTCATTAGTACCCAAACTAATCAATAAATACGGACAAAAAGAGGTAAAAAGTGTAGGAATTAAAGAAATAAATTGTTATGTAATATAGAAACATTTAATGCCAACCAACAAATCAGTCAGATGATGATTGATTAAGAAAGATTGGTTAAGAAAGAAATAGTTTTCTTTTCTAAGGAGTTGTTCATATTATTCGGTAGTCCAGTTGGCATTCTCTTTCTGCTGTTTTCTTTCTCGCTCAAGCAGACATCTTGGGGGGAGGGAAGAACTTATCGCCTTCAGATCATGGCACCACCCATCATAACAATGATGAATTACTGCGTAAACACCAAGTAGTTAATTAACAGCAATGACTATCCTCCTGGGTTTATTAACAGGAGATTAGGGATAAAATACGCAACATCAAAGAGTGTTTAAAAAGCTCAAGAAAACTCTCTTCGTCAAGTTTACTTTTAAAGGAGATAAATCTACTAAGGTTTAGCTGTGAAGATCTTTGACAACAAAACCGTGTACTAGCAAACTTAGTGTCGTCTTCACTTGATCGGCCTTGATTTATTAGTATGTCATGAATAAACATTCAACTCGGGTCACATCATTGTACAATTAAGTGTTTAACTAATTTTTCGAGGCAGGTTATATCAATATATTTATGTTATATATCATTTCTTCTTGTCAATAGACCTCTACAAACTGACTGAAGTTAAAATGTAACCTAACTACTGGATATCAGCTCAGCTGTCTGAAGGTTATGAATTAAGTATGAAACTTAAAGCTCCAGAGTTCAACCTTTGGTAGTCTCACTGGATTCTCACTCCAGCCAGACAGTCCCATGCTAGGATGAAACATTCATCTTGTACCTTCTAATTTTCAGTGACAGGGTAATTTTTTGTAATGTAAAACATTTGAGGCCAACATTCTTCACATGATTCATGTTAGCAGAATTCTCCTAATTGTTGACTTTTTTGACAGTCTCAAATCTGAATACACCAGTTACTTCATTTTCAACTAGTCAGCTCTTGTGCACTAACCCAGAAGGTCATGGAAGATAATATAATTCACCCTTATTTATTGAACTGATCTAGGAGTAGTCAAATATAGTATTGTGTCTAGGGAATACTAGAAAGTAGACAATAGATGAAATACTACCATATATATATGACTTACTCAACGTTATAATGCTTCATAACATCACGATTAATTGTATTCCATCCTTTCGATTTTGATGACGAACATTCACGTATAAGATCAGACAATGAATTTTGTATCCATTGTGGCCAATCACCATTTGGTATCAATGATTCTAAATCTTGTGCCAATGGAGTTAAATTAGTCAACAGAGTTGAATGATCTAACAAAGAGCAGGAGATCTATTAAATTATAAAAATAATGTAGGATGTGTAAGATTAACGCATTTAAATTGTACTACTGATGAGTAACAAGTTTTTTATTGCACAATTTTCTTCTTAAATAAATATCAATGAGTTCACTTTTTGGTTGACACATTCTCCTATGGAACTGGTTATTTAGTAGCATCATTCTAAGCAGTCGAGCAAACCTCCTGCACGATGATCATAACATGTTTTTGACTACCCCAACGCTGGAAATAGTTTGTAACTCTATCATACACATTAGTTTGGAGTCATACACTTACTGGTAAAAATCTATGTTCGTTTACGGGATTAGTACGCAGGAATCATGGTTCAGCAATCATGTTTCGACAGCCACTTGCTTTATTGTCTATACATTCATTAAAATTCAGCATCCTTGATCACGCATATGTGATTGCAAACTACATTTATTACTTTTGAACATAGCACGATTACTGCAATTAATAACATTTCATTCTACTAAAAATCAGAACTAAGAGTGTAGAGCTAGTCTCTCGTGTTCATCGTAATTAAGTCAGTTTTATTTGTCCGACAAACACAGTGGTATGTACTAATATTTTCTTAACATATGAGCTCAAACTTACACGTACTTGCAAGTACTTACAAGACAGTTTTACCTGACATCTTAATTTCATAAATTTTGATATTTTCTGATTTCTTTAACAAACGCAGACACATTTGTATCTTTGTTTGACGAAGGGAGGTGAGCTATTGTAGCGCCTCAACATTTACTAATTATAGTAATTTTAGTGATTGGTCGTTTAAATTATTAGTTAATTGTATCGACTATTTTTTGGTTCGATAACAGCAGTGATTATTGCATATTTGGTTGTGTGAGTGGATGCTTACTTGCTTATCACATGCCTGGCCTATTGTTGCCTGACTAAAAATGCTTAGTTATTCTTCAGCGCACGAGAGTTGGCTCACTTGTCTTCTCCAGTTCGCTTCGCTCTGATCGCACACTTTGTCTGTTTAAATTAACACGTGAAATAAATGCATCTGCGAAACCGTGCTTGGCTTTTTATTACAGCCGTTGCACAAACAAGGTTAGTCTAACTGTATAATGTACAGAGAATAGAATGGGAGATTTATTTCATGAGTATATTTAACCGTTCGTCTAAAACTGGAGCCAAATTAAAGGCCGATGAAAAGTTAATCATACAATTCAATTCTTGGTTGATATTAAATGGTTAAAGATAAATGATGCGAATCTCTACACATATACGTTTTATGCTAGTTCATATAAACCAGTAAGGTGTATCCGTAATCTTGAGAAGTATAATCTTCCTTGTCGGCTTGGAACCCCAAGTTGTTCAGATTTACAATGAGAGATATTACCAAGTGAGATATTATGATAACTGTTAACTAGATTATTGTGAAGCAGCAGGATATCTTTAAATTCTAGTAGAAATTCACAATTGATGCGGATTCGATGATATCAAGAAAAGTGATGAATAGATCATTCACAGTACTGAATTCTGGTCATACTATTTTGTTCATTTGAAAAAAAAATTCTAACACTTTTATTCATCTATTCAAACAGTGATTACTAATAAAGAATTCGAATAGAAATTTGATCACACACCCACACACACACACCCATGGGAATAGACATATAGACATAGATATAATGTGACTCACTTGAAATAAGTTCGGTGCCAATGTAATCATTGCACTTAAACTTAATTGTGCAGCATGTTGATCAGCTAAATCTTTTGGATCTGGTCCACTAGTTGTACGTCTTAAACGTCTTGGACTAAGACTTACACCTTGATTAGATAAAGGTGATGGTTTAATTAATCTATACAAGGAGGGTGCGAAACAAACAGCTAAATTACTGGCACTCATCTGAAAGAAAAATGTAAAAGTGTAAAAGATTTAAAAATAGGTTTTTTTTATTTCTATAGTTTACATAATGAGAATTGACTCTAACTAGACAATAAAAATTTAGAAAGAAATGGGAAGCACACTTATCAGTCCGTCTGGAGTTGAATCTAGACACTGAAAAACTAGATACCAATTAAGTTACCTGTAGACTAAGTACTCATAACAAGGCCGGAAGGTCTGTGGTTCCATTCCCAATGAAGTCATCGATATGAACCTCCTTTGAAATATTTGTCAAGTGCTTCCGAGTTAACACTTGTTATTTCACTAAATTTTATTTTTATAACAGACAAATAGACAAACGAACAATACCTATCAATAGAACTAAAGAACATTGGAACAATTGTCACTTACTTCAGTTACATCACTATGACGTGATAAATGGTTGAGTAAATATAATAATTTCTGTAGAACAAGACGATTTTCATCTGGTAAGCTAATTAATATCCAACGAAGTAAATCAATTTGTACTGAATTTGGAACACCTAATTAGTAAATAATGATGATAACACTAATAATAATAAATGATAATGATTTGCGGAAAGAACAATGAATAACAATTTATTTTTGTCCATGAAAAGAAAATGTTAAGAATGCGATCATTCAATTTTCAAGATTTAGAAAAGATAGGATCGAAGAAGGCGTATTTCGTTTCAAGAATTTGTTCATTGGAGCTACCTACATGCTAGTATGTTGAAACTCACATTGGAACCCTGACCCTGATGCCTTGTACTTTGAACGTTCCAAAATATTTTCTACTGAGCTACTGAGTTCAGATAGCCGTCAGTATGTGTAATTCATATATCGAAAGAATTCGAACTCAGTATATATATTCGTAGTTGAAATCACGAACTGTGGTCTTGGATAGACCATTATTCAAAAGTGTAAAGCACACGAGGGCCGTTTTGGTCCTAGTATGAGAATCATCAACAGTACGCTCCCTCGACCTCTGTACGTGGGAACTGAACCCAGAATCTTCACTGCGAACGCTTAACCCCTCGATCACTGCACCAACTTCCATCAAAAGAGATTGATCAGTATAGACAAGTAGATAGTTCAAAACAATGTAATTTATGATATTAACTTGTTATCAACTGAATCCTAAAATCTTTAGAATGAATTGTAGTTTAAAGTGACTCCTCAATAGGATGCACCAATGGTTAATATACTGGAGCCGATAAGAAGTGACCTATTGAGAAAGCCATTAGATAACCATCAGGAGATGTCCTAAAGGACGAATGTATAACATTGGTTAAGAAAGAAATTGTTTTCTTTTCTAAGGAGTTGTTCATATTATTGGGTAGTCCAGTTGGCATTCTCTTTCTGCTGTTTTCTTTCTCTCTCAAGCAGCCATTTTGGGGGAGGGAAGTCTTGGCACCTGCCTCAGCATCTCCAACCGCCAGTTACGATTATAGCAAAAGCTCCGATCACATTTTATAAGCTAATGAAAATAGACTAAAGTAACAGACAGCGATTTCATGAACTTACGCCACGTTTTGGTTTGGTTAACCCCAGCTTTCTTCAAAGATATTCCAAATCCAGTCAACATTGCAGGTTGAAGTAAGTAGTGATTGGACATAAGTAATAAATGTTTCAGTAACCTCAGTGAATGAATATTTCTTAGATCGTAAAATGAGTTACTATTTGTGTGATGACGACTTAGTGGTCCTAGCTTATGTGACCGACGCTTTAAAATTGTCTATGATCAAAGACTGGTAACCCACAAAGTTCTGTATTTTTAAAAGTCCTGTTTCCCAACCGCAAATTTGAAGACAGTGAACTGCTGGATAGTATGGTCATCTTTCAGTTAAAAAAGGTTCACCTCGATTAGGCAACAGTTGATGGGAGCTGGGATACTACTCGATTGCCTAAAACGAAACAGGTGGTCTTCTTAGAGGTTCGCTCTATGAGCCTCTGGTCCAAAGGTCTAATCCATAAGGCCGTGGAGCAACGTCCGAAGATGTAGTCACATAGTAGCCAGTTACCGATTACAGGTTCATACATAATTTGTTCTTTGGGGATTCTGGAAATTACGTGCACCACTGGTTTGGAATGTTAGTTTCCCAACTCCTCCAGGTGGATTTTCCGTTTCCACCCAATCTAGTTAGAGCGCTGGACATTCGCTCTTCATCCTCTCAGTTTCACTAACAAGACGTATGTCATGAGAAGACAGTGAGTACGATTTATTTGCTAGTGGCTGCATACACGTAACCATTTGAGAGCATTTAGAGAGGTAGACTACCAGGGCATTTGAGGGCAGTTTGACACAGGCCACTCATAGGGAGGAGATCATATTGCAGACATGCTTAAACTGTTAGACGATGATCAGAAAACTCTGTATTGTATAAACATCTTTACCGATACAATGATTTAACGCTCAATAGCATATGAATCTGCAGTAAATAATAAAAACTCATTATTTTCCAGATATTTTTTTAATCAAAAATCATATTCATCTTATTGATTTTAGACTATACAAAAAAAAAGAAAAACATCATTCATTCACTTACATATATAAACATTAACAAGTACTGTAGCTAATTTACTAGTAAATAAACATTCTGGTAATTCACGAAAGAATTGTTTTAATAAATCAGCTATGTCATATGGTTGCCAATCATTGAATTCATTCCAATCTGATAAATTTTTATTTAAAAAAATGGTATTCGATGAAGAAGAAAAACAACAGAAAGATATTGTTGTTATGAGATTAGAATTTGAAAATGAGATAATACAATAAAGAGACTAATGGTTTTCAATGTAATTTAGTCTGTAAATTGAATATTTACCAATATAAATAGTGGCTGTGATGTATGAAGAAGCTTAGACCAGGTGGGATAGTGATATATATGTATAGAGAATATTGTTTACTGACGAAATGGGTACTCCTTATGTTCACACTTTTATTTGAGAAACAAGCAAAGTATTGAATGTCTTCTTTCACATATCTTTTAGTCATCAAAACACAGGGATTGTACCATGCCTTAAGACCCAATAGTAACTTCTGTGAGACACTCCAGAGCACACTACTTAGAAGCCACATTGCCAGTAGTATCAACTATAGGTTGTTAGATAACTGTTTTGTCTGAATTCATTTTCATATATTAGAGAGTTAGTAGTAATAAAATCAAGGACATGTATTTCGCCTTATTTGAAACTTGTTTGCGTTTTTATTATTGCATTTCCTAGTCAGTAATCACACTGCAACTTGAATCTAATGCTCAAATCAATATTCATTAAACTGCTAAGACTGTATAAGTTACTTGTTTTCCCAGCAGGTGTCAAGATATTAAAAAGATTCGATATTCAGGATTATAGAATTTTGTCTTACCTTTGGAAATATTACTGTAGTATGCATATATGATCGATCCTCTTAGGGAGCGAGCTCACTATATTTAGGTCTGTTGGACAATACAATGTCATTCGGATCACCAAATTATCATTTAAACAGCTCGAATTTCCAGTTTTAATTCATTCGCTAAATTATTCAAATATTATCCGTTGAATGTAGAAATTTTATTACTTAACTCCAATGAGTTCTCATTGGAACATTGTGTAAATTTCTTGAATTATTCAGATAGTGAGAATATGATTATTAATTATTTGGATAGAAAGATTTTGGTGTCGTTTTTACATCATGAGCTGATTGTTGATCACGAAATACGATGACTAGATTAAGGTTTAAATGTTTAACTATTGGTCTAGTGATTAGATACTCACTGCTAGATTCGACGATCCTAAGCACAACTCTCGGTGGAATCTTGGATTCACAATCTTGATTAAAGATAACTGGCCATTGCTTCTATAATTTAAATGGTACATTAACTAAGGTCGATTGAGCACAAACTGTGAATCAGGCTATGTCTAAAAAATCTCCTTATCAATATATGAAATGATTTATTGTCTGTATACAATCTAATTAACACTAATTATTATTATTATTATCTAGAGTATTTCACTCAAAGAGGAGATCACAGTCGGAATCTAGGCAGCTTAGACTAGAACAATGTGGGCAAATACCTAATTCGAAAATATTCTCAATGCAGAGAATTAACAAGAAATCCATGTTCAAGGTTGATGGCGTCTTGAGGCATTACATTTGTGCTAAAATATTTGGTACTGTACACACACTGATGTCCACAGACAGGAAGTTCGCTTCTAAAACCAATCATCTAAAAAGTGTACCACTCACTAATTAATCGAATTGTGATTCTCGACATTTAAACACTCACAGATTAGTCTAATTCAACAATATAAATAGTAGCAAAGGGAAAAAAACAACAACAGAACACTTACTTATATCATGTTCAATCTCTTTTCTTAATGCTAATATTCTTGATTTACCACCTGGACGTCGAAAGAGTCCATGCGCTGTAGTACCATTTAATTCTAAATGATCCATCATATGTATAATAGCTGGTGGTAAAGGATAACCTAAACAATGTTGCCAATTCGATAATGATTGACCAAACACTGGTCCAGTATAAGGTGCACAATAATGAATTGATAATTGAGGCAGACGTTCATAACTTGGTGATTTTGTTGAATAGTAATGATGATGATGATGTGAACTAGTTGCTTGATCATTTGAATTCAAATTATTCATACAAATTTCATTATTTATAATGGAAAATGCTTTCTTATCAGATAATGGAAATGTACTCAACGAATTGAATAGATGATAGTTTGAGTCACCACCAATGGTTAACAGTGCTCGATATTTCATAAAACGCCTGAAAAGTATGAAATAGGCTTTGATTAGAAAATTAATTAACAATCGTTTTATTATAAATGTTCGAATTTGATAAGAACTAGTTAGTTTACCGTTTGAAACTTGTTGATTTTCAATAGTTAATACTATTCGTAAACATAACACTTTTCGTAATGATATAAATAAATAGAAGTATTGATTACCGATTTCTGATATTGTATTCTGAAGATTAACTTAACAAAAAAAGGATTAAAAGTACTTTGTTCAATTAGAATACGTTTCAGATGAATTTTATGTCATATGCTAACTGGAGGTTATTGATTTTTAATCAATGATAAAATGTTTCTAAAACCTTTTACAATATCAAGGCTACATATAAATACGCATAATTACGCATGTCTTCTATACTGCTGATTTTCATACATCATGTATTATATCTTTTATTTGAAGCTCAAATGTCAATAATTTTCTAAAGAGAGGACTAGAAAGTAGATAGAAAATCAATGTTGAGCATGTTAGTATCATATGTAACAATGACATCTAACATGACAACATGTTAATAGATAATTGTGTGGCATAAATCAGTGGGCATTAAGTTCGAATGTAAAAGTGAAATCGGTTTTAAACCTATACCTGAGTGCTATATGAATCGAATGATAATTGCACGTATTTGGTTATAAAATGGATTATATTTATGAGGGATAAAACATGCATCAGTAGTGAGCTGATCTCTAAGATATATATATATATATATATATATATATATATATATATATATATATCTTTTAGGTTAGTCAATGAACTTATTTTCTGACTTTCACTCTGATCAGGCTAGTATATAAGAAGACCAGGGATATAGTAGATTAAAACACTTGGATTCATTTATCTTAAAATATAATGCACATGTAAATGGGATTCAAGAACTATAGAAATCAACAGAGATTGAATAATTTAACTGTTAAATATCAACAATAGAAGATATACAAACCGTTTACAGTTAATACTGTATATTTTGAACACATCGGTCAGTAATACTAGTCATTATCAACATAGAGTCTCGTACAAATATACATTGGTTCACGTTTCTACTACTCTATTACTACAGTGAAATGAAATTTAACAAAATGAATAACAAACATGATTGAAATAATCGTAATACGGCAATGATAAGGAGAAAGACTAAAACAGAAATCGAAATATATTACAAAAAGGCAGAAAGAAAAAACAATTCAAGAAGGAATATGAGAGTTGAAAATCTGCAGAACAATAAACAATGAACACATCAACACCATTGTAAATGTTTTTGTTTTACGGACTACATCACAGCATTTTCAACGATAGATCATGATTACTATGCAAAAAAACAAACAACTCTGTTGACTGCATCTAATTAAATAAAGCAGAGATCAACACAATTAACGACTTGATGTATTACTAGCATCCCACAAGCAACTGCGAAAATATTTCACATCCTCTTCAAGAAGATTTGGGATGAGGAACAAGTACCATCAGATTGGAAAGAAGGATACTTGATCAAAATACCAAAGAAAGGCGATCTCAGCAAGTGTGAGGACTACAGAGGCATCACTCTTCTCTCAATACCAGGCAAAGTCTTCAACAGGGTATTGTTAAGTAGAATGAAGGACTTCGCAGACGCCAAACTTCGAGATCATTGTGGAACAATCAATTGAATGGAACTCACCACTCTACATCAACTTCATCGACTATGAGAAAGCATTCGATAGCGTTGACAGGAAAACACTGTGGAGGCTTCTTCGACACTACGGTGTGCCTGAGAAAATAGGTAACATCATACGGAGTTCTTATGATGGATTCAACTGCAAAATCGTACACGAAGGACAGCTAACAGACTCGTTTGAGGTGAAGACCAGTGTCAGGCAAGGTTGCTTACTCTCACCCTTTCTCTTTCTCCTGGTCGTCAATCGACTCTATTATGAAAACGTTAACATCTGGAGGGAAGCACGGTATCAACTGGACAGTTAGGACGCAGATAGATGATCTGGACTTCGCAGATGACCTGGCTCTTCTAACGCACACGCAACAACAAATGCAAGAGAAGACGACCAGTGTAGCAGCAGGAGGTATCAACATACATAAAGGAAAAAGCAAAATTCTCCGATGCAACACAACATGCACCAACCAAATCACTCTTGATGGAGATGCCTTGGAGGACGTTAACACCTTTACATATCTGGGCAGCAGCATCGACAACCACGGTGGATCTGATGCAGATGTGAGGGCGCGGACTGGCAAAGCTAGAGAACTCCAAACAAATATCAATCAACACCAAAATCAGGATTTTCAATACAAATGTCAACACAGTTCTACTGTATGGAGAGGAAACTTGGAGAACTACAAAAGCCATCATCCAGAAGATAAAAGTGTTGATTAATAGTTGTCTATGCAAAATAATTCGGATTCGTTGGCCATGCACCATCAGCAACAACGTACGGTGGGAGAGAACAAAGCAAATTCCAGTGGAGGAGGAAATCAGGAAGAAGCGGCGGAAGTTGATAGGACACACACTACGAAAAGCACCAAACTGAGTCATAAGAGATGCCCTCACATGGAACCCTCAAGGTCAAGGGAAAAGAGGAAGGCCAAGGAACACATTACTCCAACAAATGGAGACAAACATGAAAAGAATGAACAAAAATTGGATAGAACTGGAAAGGGAGGCACAGGACAGAGTTGGCTAGAGAAAACTGGTAGGTGGCCTATGCTGCAATGGGGGTAACAAGCGTAAGTAAGTAAGTAAGTATCATCACATTTTATGATTTCGTCACTCCTAACCTTGCAAGTTAATCATAACACCAACTAACAATACCCATTCAAAACTATCTGATGTAATAGATATATCCGAACTATCACTAAAACACTAAAAGATTTACAACCCCAACAACCATTTGGTCATCACTGAATATCATTCGTTATTTAGGTAACCTTAACATTTCTGAAATGATTAATGAAATAAAAAAGAAAATAAATTTGATTTTCTTTCTGTTACTTCTAACTGTCATTAACTTACCAACTAAATGGGGATCGATTGACGGAACAATGTTTCTCAGCTATACTAGCCAATTGTATAAGAGCTAATTTTCGCAATATCATTAATTGTCCAACGGATAACGACCAAATTGTTACATAATCGTCTTCTTTGGAATTGTGCAGTATATTTTTTCTATCCAATAAACTACAACTTGAATTCAATGTATTTATTCGACTAGACAGGATACATGGATGTTGTTCATCAGTTGGTTGATGATAATTATTTGATGCATTATTATTATTATTATTATTATTATCATCAGCAGCAGCAGTGGTATAACTCAAATGACTTTTCATAAATTTATTCATTCTTGCATTGCGTATTGATTTAACTGGTGTCGCTGCTTGTAAAGAACTTGAAGATAAATAAATTATATGCTTATCTTTGTCAATATATTGATCATTTTGTCCAGCAGACGATTGTGTTTGTGTTGAAATTATTTTCTTATGTGATGATGATCTTGTACGACTTGACCAACGGAATGGATGTTTACGGAATGATCTATATTTGCCAGATTTTATGCCCGTGCTAGGCAACACTTCATCTGTTTCTTGTTGTTGTTGGTGTTGGTGTTTAGTTGAGTGATGTTCAGCTTCACTTTTACTGCCATCTTCTATTTGAACACTGTTAAGAAACAAACAGATGCTAAATGTTTAAATAAAAATTTTACAAACTGTTTATAATGAGTAATATCGTGGTATTATAAATCTAAGAACTGCTGTCAACAATAGTTTTACATTTTTGAAACCATGAATCGATCAATGTTAGATCACCATTAAAAACCTGGAAGCACTGGACGGCCGTTTCATCCTGGAATGGGACTCCTCAGCAGTGCGCATCCACGAAACGGCCGTCCAGTGCTTTCAGGTTTCTAATGGTGGTCTAACATTGATCGATTCATGGTTTCAAAAATGTGTAACTTAACAATCTTCACAACCCTATAATGCAAATTACCTGTGCTCACTAGTGACTAGCTCCAGAGGAATGTTCTGCGAGTTCTAGTGGGAAGACGTCGTGACCAGTGAAGTTCAACCTGTTCGTGTGTAGACAGTAACTACCGAAGACTGTGTATGAAGTTGCGCAACTCCGTGAATTGATCAAGTTAGACATTGACACCGTTAGATACCGGCTCAGTGGTCCTATGGTTAGGCGTTCGCGCACAATACCGAAGGTCCTGGGTTCGAATCCTGCGGGGCGCAGGAGTCGTGGATGCGCGCTGCTGAGAAGTCCCATACCAGGACGAAACGGCCGTCCAGTATTTCCAGGTTTATAATGATGGTCTAACACTGATCAATTCATGGTTTCAAAAATGTATAAGTTAACAATCTTCACAACCCTGTAATGCAAACAATAGTTTTGTCTATTATGATTTGGATCTGCTCATTGGTAATGTTACAGACTGTGATTAATCCTGTTCTAGATCATCGCCTCTCTGTTGTTATTAAATCATAAACATTTTCATACGAGGTAGTGTGACAGAAGCTAGCAGTGGAATCCAGGACTTGTACAAAATAAAACAAAATACATCCTAGATTTCATTATTAACCGATATTCATGTTTCTTTGAAAAATTCTGTTATGATTAATTAAAATGTTACCATTTGATAGCTAATTTATTTTAAAGCGAATTTTCAGGTTGATGCATAGCAAGTAGTA